GTGGTGCACTATCACAGTTTTATCTGATTTAATTTGGCATTTTTCAATGCTACCGAGCGTTGCACTCATTTTCAGAGCCACGAAACAACTGGTATCATCACAGATAAGAATTGTTAATAGATAAATGATGATATATTTTCTAAAACGTAAAAAATGTAGGGAGATCCTCGTATAACACCGGTCCGCAATGTGTTAAACTTAAAGACATATCCCGCGGCTATCTGTGCTGGAAGGAGTCTGCAGAAAACATGGAGTAGTCAGCAGTCGCAGAGGTAGTGCCACTCATGCGGCTTGAAAGGGCGCGAAAAGAACTTTAGAGGCCCATGAAATAGGATCATAGCCACTTGGTGAGGCAACTATTGTCCTTCTTATAGTTAGCAGATTCGTACAACGCCCGAGAAGCAGCTCATTTTCATTGTTTTCTGCATTTTCTCTCCTTCTTTTCGTATGAACACCGACATCCATATTAATAGTACTCCTTTTCCTGGTGAAAATGGTCAGCCCTCCGTATGGCTGGGTCAAATGGGAGAGGGTAAAATCATATTGACTCTGGAAGAAGGTTCGTATTTCAAGATCTTGGAAAAATTTTGGAGTTTATAATTCGTCGCTTCGACAGATTCAGTTCTCGAATGATAATGAGATTTATAGATTTTTTAGGTAGAGTTTAGAGTATGTCACGTCCCGCCGAGTTTAGTGACGCCATCAACACCATTAAATATCAGGGGGAAGGAGAGGTCGAATCTGGAATCTTGGAATCTGCCACACACCACGGTTGACTGTTGGCAATGTTTTCTACTGGATTTCTGGCGTTTTCACTCGACTTGTTTCCACTCGATTTCTGTGAGAACTGTACCATTGTCGTGATGTTTCTCAACAGGGCAGAGTCTTGCCGGAGTTTGGTTCTCCTCAAAGGCAGGCACTAGGATGAAATTGGTGTGGTTCTTGCGAAAGATCGGTACAAAGTGGGCCGGCAGTAAAGAAAAAAGAAAGGGAAAATTCGAAAACGCTCAGGTTGAGGGCTTGCTCACCTTCTAATCGCGCTGCAGGAATGAGAGACTAAGCGCGAAGAGGAGAGTATGAGGCGAGAGAGCGCTACAGATGAGAGGGCGCCAGACGACAGCCCCTGCGGATGGAGAACAGTACGGCTGCTTCATCCTGCTGCATCCAACTTTTAGCTCTACCCCTTTTGTCAGGTGATTTCATGCGCGAGATTGCCTTATCTGTGATTATTCTCTAGAGTCTTCTCCTACAGACCGAAGGTAATCATTCACAGGCTTCTGCCTAGGTTGCGCCTTTGAATTCCATTGCTGCCGTGTTTGCAAACATAAAAACGGTCCAGCACGAACCTTCCGTTCGATGATTTCGCAATTTCGAAACGTCAACGAACCAAGTAGACACCATTCCTATCCGATTGATGCTACCGGAAAATTTTCTCGTCCTACCGTCTCCTGAGTAGACGATTCTGATTTCCCTGTTGTTTCTCTTCTGAGTTGACATCGTTTAACACTTTGACAACCATGAAGCCCATATGTGGGCTGCAGCTTGCCGGCCACGAGGGACCGTACAGCCCCCATGTGGGCTTCAACTAACTAATGATTGCAACATTAAATGATAAAAGAAAGGCCAAATAAAACAGCAAACGTCGTGGGTCGGAGAAGAAGGTTCTTGTACTAAGTTATTGAAAGACACCGATTGAACCGATTCTTCCCCAAGTGACTAATGATTACATTATGTGCAAAACGTTGCAAAGCTCTTCCATGAGTGAACCTAAGATGGAAGCCTTCCAAGCAAAAGAATGGTTCACGTTTTTTGTAGTGTGTACTAAACAGCGTGATGTTACCAATTATACCAGTGCACCCTCCTTCTGCAAAGTTGCGCATGACATGTTCATTTTTTGATGTACTCCCTACAGAAGAACAAAGTGTTTCATAAAACTCGCCAAAAACAATTTGGGAACCATGCAGCCCACATGCGGGCTGCAGCTTGTCGGCCATGAGAGACCGCGTAGCCCACATGTGGGCTGCAGCCGCGACGTTCGAGTAGGCGCCGCGGTCGCTCGAGGCCTCAACTCCCAAAACCTGCGCGGGCTCCAACATGTTAAGCCAGCCGCTCGTGAATGCATCGTGTCATGCAGACCCGAGGTTTGGCAATCACCCTACCTGCACCATCAAGATATTGGTTGTAAATATAATATATTGTTGGTTGGTCTGCCTTCGAGAGCACCCGACTGCAAAGCGGTGCTCTTTTTATCGCCATAATGAGCTTAATATTAGTTTAGCCGAATCACCTACTACGGGGGAAAGAAAGATTTGTTGGCATGGGGTTTCTGGCCAGGCGATGCAGAAAGTAATCACGTTGCTGTTAATTGATAAAAATCTGCTAAAAGTAGCGAAGCTGTAGCACAAAGGAAGACAATACTCAATGTTATCGAAGATTATTCACCGATGGATAACTATTACAAAAGTTGTGCAACCAGTTTAGATACTTATTTTTGCTCATTACCGATGTAATCTTCTCGAGCTTTCAACAAAAAATTCATCAGAAATTTTCTCCACAACTTTCTGAAAAAAATCAAGTTTCTGAAAAATCCTCGGAGCATCAACTACTCCGAGTGATGTTAGCTTGTTCCTGTTTCTACAATTACAAAGAAGAAAATCTTAGACCCGTCATTGTTATGAATTCTCGTCATACAAAGAGCTAATTTATGTCACAAATACAAGAAGTCTAATATTTTCTCCTTTTGATCGCTGCAGAAGTAGAGGGACTCTTGAGCCGAGATTTGTGAGAGAAAGTAAATCTTTATAGTAGTGGAGTCCAAATTTCGGAATATTCCTGAACTGTGTAGCACAAATTCTACAGGGAACCCTTCGGCAGAACTCGGATTCTCCTTTTTTTCATTAAATGCGTTCCTACAATTTTGCAAACAGGTTGTAGTGCCTTTATTCCATGAGTAAACTTGGAAGCGTTTTCCATTGTCCATTTTATATCCATTGGATAGCGATTTTAATTGGGTCAGACTTCGCGATTGTGTCGCAGTTGGGGTAGGCGTCGCTTTGCAAACCTTACGGGTCAATATGGACTGGCCCCATTGAAGACTGCGATGACGATTGCAACTAAAGTCTGACTTCTACCTAATTGCTGAAGCTTCCTATGCAGGAAAGAAATTCGCTCTGAGTTTTTGTGAGATATTACAAACATCGCCTTCATCTGAGCTCTTTGCTTCAGGATCGTCGGTTGATGACTCCGAACCTCTACCTACTCCACCCACACCGCGGCCACGGCAGGCGAACTTTTTTGGATCTCTCTTAGGTACTATACCTTTCATTCATTCCTTCAATTAAACTGTTTTTGAACAAGTTACTACAAAAATGAAATAACACATCAAGCAATGACGGTGAGGCACAAGATATGTTCACTGTATAAGAGCAAGAAGGTCAGAATGTTAGAATCAAATGATTGGTCACTGAGACTAAACAAAATTGCAGAAAATAAGAGATAATTGTGAAAATGATCAAGCCAAGCTGCTCCTTCAAAAGGTGCATCTCACTCCGGCTATGATTTTCTCTCGACACATGAGTAACAAGGTTGATGAACAAGAAGCTTACGCAATTTGTTCGAAGATCATCGATATTTTACATATATGAAAATATAAAAACTATTTGGAGATGAAGAAAATTCAGTGAAAAAGAATGACTGCGGAATGTTTCAGGAGCGCCACCACCACAGGCCCAGCAGCGACAGCCATCACCCTCGTCAAACCTCGGTCAGATTGATCTCTGGGAGCTTTTTGGTATGTGCTAAGATTCCGTCTTGCAGAACACGATTGAAAAACACTACAGGGCAGATACTGTGTGCGGTCGACAAGAGCTATATTCGGCTAAAACGGCTAAAAGTGGAGCGAATATCCCCGTAAAAATATTTTATGTAAAGGCAGGGGAGGGGGTCACTCAGCATCTGGTGATGAAGTAGAGCCACATCACCATGAAAAAGCATTCCTTTCGGCCTTCAGTCACCTCATGACGTGAGAGCGATCCGAAACATTCGACTTCTTCATAAGGAGCTAGTAGAGGCGTCTGCGTGCATTCAAACCAGAAGAAGCGGCAAACGATTAGAATATCATGAGCTGATCCTATGATTCACACCTTACAGGCAGTGGGTACGATTATTGGGCTATTGATAATGGTACGAGTAAGGTAGGTATGACCAACCTAAGCATACCACCGGTTTCGTGATGAAAGGCCCGCTTGAGGCGCACTGCTTAGGTTTGCCGTGTTTCTCGTCTTCGCAGGCCAACCGGTGACGATCCTCTGTTTGAGCGCGCTTCCGACTGGCAGCACTAGCCCCTGGTCCTGTGCTAGCATTGTAGCCCATAGAAAAAAAAGTTCAAAAGGAAGTGACAAGAGCCATAGGCAGCCTTTCATCATTCGTTGAACTTTCGAGCGTGGGCTGAGGCCATCTGGCTGAGTTTGGTACCTGGGATCACAGTGCCGCCCCTCGTTCATCTGTCGCAACGTGGGTCTTCTAGCCAACGGCGCGGCAGGTAACTCACCGCTCTTTGACCCTACATTGGCTCCTTGGCCGGGTTCCTGCTAGAAAGTCTGGGTAAGCTGTCGTGTGCAGGTCAGACCAATGGTTTTTTCGATTCTGCGCTAGGAATCTGTAAAACAGTGATTACGATGGATAGATGAGGACGCGGTTTTGGTGACGTCCTTGGATGTCATTAGCAGAAGCGCGTAAAAGGCGGTCCTATCCCTTCCCCTCAACACGCCGAGGGGTCTGATCCACCGATGGCATTCAGTGACGCCATTAACTGCACCGCCCTCCAGCCGTGATCAACGCCTTTAACCCTTTCGGCCCTGGCGGTGGCAATTGCCACCATCAAATTCAAAGGTCTGCATTACCGCTGCAACAGCATGGTTTTTCTATCCTGCTAGAGGTTGCTTCAGTCAACCTTCCCCTTCCTAATTATGCTTTAAACCCGCCATTTATTGTGTGTTGCTGTTAGCATTACAAGTATTTGTGTACAAGTGCAACAATGAATCGGCGCTGGTCTCAGCAAGCTGCTAGGTAAGTGTCAATCATTTCTAAAATACTTGACATATATTCATTTTTTTCAAAAACGTTAGATATAATGTTGTGCAAGATCATAAACTTTTTCGACATAACTAAGAAATTTGGAATTGTTTCGACATAAGCTAAAAACTAAGAAGCTGTGCCAATTTTCAAGCTTCCTAGTTTCTTAGTTTGTGATCGAATAGCTTCCAAATTTCGCTGTAATGATATCTATGTGCTCACAAGTAATAAACAATAGCAGGAAGAGAAGTCGAAATGTACGGCTTTGCAAGAACCTTGGCATGATATATTGATGGACGATATATTCTTTTAGCTCTCGCGAGGTTTTTAAGTAGACTTTCAGACTCTGAAGAAGGCGACCCGCCGAAACGTAAGCCAATAAAGTCTACTTAACAACCTCGTGGAGAGCTAACAGAAGATATCAGCCAGCAGGAAGAGAAATTTTTCCACGGAGAAAAACTCAGGTTGAAAGGGTTAAACTGAATGGAGGCCTTGGCTGCATCTTTAAATCAGCTTTTCAGTGCTCATGTAGGGGAGGGGACATACAAGTGAGTGAGCTTCTTACAGAACTTGGGACTAAGCCTTAGGGAGATGAACGGGAGTATCTGGGGAGTATGTAAGCAAATTGGGTTCCCTCTGGCATGTCTCCCATCTCCTGGGCTTAGCCCTAGTGTTACCTCGGCACTGTCTCAAATGTACCCCCCAACCACATTGATGTCAGCTTTTATAACAGCGGCCAGGTGTATATCAGAGAGAACCGATCGTGAGCAATGTATTTGTTATGGCACATATAGGCGATAGCTGGTCGAGCCAAAGAACTGTGGATGGTTGGAACCTGGAATAGCAGGAGAAAAATGGTGTTCAAGTCGCCAAAACAATAACCAAAAGCCTTTACCAATGCATAACACGAATTACTTGAGTGGTAAAAATGTAAGCGTTGACCATTCAGGTGTAACACGTCGCACGACAACAACAACACCAGCGCCACCTCCACTACAGAGTTTGCTCAATCCACAAATGGGTGCAAATGCACAAAATATCGATGGTGGGTCCTACAACGATGGGATTCTGGTCAGGAGCAAAATATTCAACTAACCTTCTCTTGATTCATTCAGCCGTCTTCAATGCTCTAATGAGAAGCAATGCACAACCGGAGCGGCCGCAACCATCCACGAACCTATTTTCGCAGTTCTTCGGACGATGATGTTGTACAACTGTTACAGTGTCGCTGAATGGAGCCACCTGGCTGTACTTATTAATGTTAACATATTTATTTGACAATTTTGTGCCAACTATCATCACTAGGAACTTTAAACCCACCAAAACTGTGTTTTAGTATTGGTCAACGGATCAATGTCATATTTTGTATAAATCTCAGGAATCCAAACAACCTTCAAATATAAATGTCTACCACGAAACCGTGTAAATGTAGTATTTCTGAATCAAACGTCGTCTCTTGACTGTGAAGCGATCCATGAGAAAGGGTGAACTGTCCTGATCAGCGAAGGGTTGCATTTCACATCTTTGGGGAGGAGGGACGCGGGAGAGGAGGGTCGTATTGAGTGTAGCCTGTCATATTTCTGGCAGACAGCGAGAGTTCATTCGAGGATATGCAACTGGCGGAGAAGTTGATAGAATTTTTGCGAAAATTGAGGATTCTCGGAAATCTTTCAAATTTCAAGCCAGTTTAGTCGTTTTAGCAGTTACAAATGGCCTAATAGATATTTAAAGTTACTGGGTACTAAAAAAGATGTGGTCAATAAAAAGTAAAACAATAACATAGCCCTAAGCGTAGTACTTGTGCATATTTTTTTGAGCTGGGCTATACTGCTAGGCATCGAGTACTTTTTGCTGAATTTGGTGAACTCCGAGAAACCCCGTACAGTGAATGGCTCTTAGAGAAGTTTAAATTTTTCCCCTCTGGTAGTGGACGGCAGAAGGGTGAAGAGAGCTTGAGTGTCGACGGACACCTTCCCTGTGATAATTTTGAACGCTGTCAAAAGATCGAATTTCCTCCTCCTGCCCTGAAGAGATTCAAGGCCAAGCATTTTGTTCCTTACGACACTCTTGGGTATGGCGTTATAAACACGAAACAACCATCGAAAGTTGGACAAGGGGGTCGTGTATAGTATACAGGGTGGTTACAAAGTGGTCCGCCAATTTAAACGTCCCTTGCTAAACTGTATATCCCTGTTTCAAGTGTGTAATATATCGTTCTGGATAAAGCATGTCAGTCATGCACTACTGCCGAATTATCACGACTGGCAGTACGAATACCTCGGAGAATGCGACCGTCTCTCATCGAGTACCATCGCACACCTCGTGGACGAAGGATGTTCCGCCGCGGAGATCGCAAAAAGGCTCCACATCAACGACAGAACGGAGAAGAATTGTGGCTCAATACAGGGAGCGAGGACACTACCTACCACTTCCAAAAACAGGCCGACCAAGAACTGTTAATGTTCCACAGATTCGGAAGACGATCAAGAAAAGGATCTCCCGCAACGATGAGGTTAGTATGAACAAATCGCTTCGGATCTGCATATCTCACGAAGAAGTGTTCAAAACATCGTGAGATTTGAATTGGATTTACGCAGTTACCGCTTCTGTTGAGGATAGATACTCAGCGAATCCGCCAAGAAAATATAAAAAAAACATCAAAATTATTCGAAAACCTACCAGAATATTGGCTCGCAAGCTCATACGTCTCTTCTTCGTAAATCGCAGACAGCCTAGTGAACTCAACCTCAGGTCGCTGGTTTATCACTGGTTTTGTTACTTATATTTTTGACAGGTTTGTTAGGAAATTTTAACTTCATGATATTTTAATTATTATGGCGTGTTCAAGCACAAATAAATAAATAAATTAATAAATATTATTCTGATGGACACACTGATGCCGTGGGCCCACAAACACTTTGGACAAAATTTTATTTTGCAACAAAATTGGGCGCCAGACCATGGGTGGAATCTACGAGTTCCTGATTTCTGGGACAAAGCATGTGGCTATCTAATTTCCCAGACCTCAATCCGATGAACTATTCCATTTGGAACTATCTGCAGCAGAAAGTGTTTCTTTTCCCACCGCAGTTTGGATAGTCTGAAAGCAGCGCTTCAGAGGGAATGGCAGAAGATTGATGTCAACTACCTGCGGCCCATTGTGGAAGCATTTATCAAGAGATTGGAAGCTTGCATTCGGGCCAGGCGACCATTTCGAACAGTAAAATAAAGGATAAAGCATTTGCCGTTGATCAATCCCTTTTTGGGATGCGGCACGCATTCTACTTCCATTTGTACATTCGTAGTGGCGTTTGAATGCGATGTGGCCTATACAATGACTTGCGGGGGCCAGCCGATGTACAAGTCAGTGTTTTTATCCTCCCAGACAAGTCTGGTACCAATTAACCGACCCCGGAGGGATGGAAGGCTTGGTTGGCCCGGGCGACTCACGACCCAGGATTTGATCCCCGGACCGCTCGCGTGGTAAGCGTGCCACTTGCCACTACACCACTTCCGCCCATTTCGAACAGTACCTCGAATAAATGTTTCTGTATCTAGACCTTGCCATTTGACAAAATTTCATGAAAAACTGCAGCGAATTTATTTCTGTTACATGCGAATAAAAGTGGACCATATTTTGTGGCTACCCTGTGGAACGCCAAGGTTTACCCTCTGACGATGCTCGCTGCAGGCTATTTACTTTAAATATGTCGTGAAGTCTTGGAGCTTCAGATTTAAATATAGATTTATTAAATAAGCATTAAGCACATTGAGTTAATTAACACAAAAGCATGGAAGTCATCAGGTATTATAAAACACAACGGTGTCATGAAGTTAACATAAACAGTAAGGGTAGAATGACCAACTATCGAGTAAAGACGTGGCCTTTTCAAACACGAAGCGGAAAAATACGGCCCTTCGCGAAGCGACTGTGCATATTTTCCTTCAACTGAGCTGGTGGGGTAGGGGGGGGAGGTGAGAAACAAGCCTGAGTATCAACTAACATCTTCCGTGTGATCTTGAATGCTGTCAAAACATCGGATTTCTGCCTTCTGCTGTGCTCGAAACACTTGGTCCACACTAGCACAGGGCAACTTTTCGCAATTGCAATAGCATAACCTCTGAAAAGTTGATTTTGGGAATCTTATCAAAGGCTTTTATTATAATGTTATACCGCGCTTCAATGACACCTCTACAATGCTAATTTCGTGATCCATCTGCTTGTTTTCTAGATGGTTGTTCCGAAAAATATCCTCACTCGTCCTCTGAAAAAAAGTTCAAAGAGCCGATCCCGAAACTTTAGAAGTATTTCAGCTTCCTAAAGCTTCGTGTGCGCATTTGAAAGAACACACAGCTATTTCTCTAGAAAACAAGTACCAAGGCGACGTGACGCTCATATCGAAAGGCTGATAATGCAACCCAAGGAGATCAGGCATGACGTCATCGGACTTCATCGGACTGACCGACACAACAACACCGTCCGCGTGTGTGTGCACTCACCGCTACGTTCTTGGCCATCACCGTCGATTCGTATGAAAGCCTGATGATCCTAAGGAAATGTTTGATATCAAGAAGATGTAGTTCAGCTGTAGCTCGCCAGCCTTCGTTGCTACTCACCAACGTGAAGTCACGACGAGGATGAACTCAAACAACTCTGTTCCGTAATAAATAGAATTGGAGTTGTAAACTCCATCTGAGAGCTCACAGGCGGCGCGGACGCGAGCGCGTGCAGGTGACGTCAACTTGACGTCACAACGGCGGCAGGGGTTGAGAAAGGCTACGCCAATACTTTAGGACATTATGTCACTATCAGCTCTGACTTCACTGCGGAGTGAGTAGAAGTAATACCGAAGTATAGTTTTATTGAAATCAACTCGGATTAAGTGCGCACTCGTCAGGTTTACAACGAAACCGTTGATTTCCTCCACATTCGCAAACAATTCCTAATTTTCGAAGGCGAAAATTGTACCTATACACAATACAATCATTTCGCTCACAGCACTACTGATTGCACTAGTGGTGAGGTGCCAGCAACCCTTCTACTATTCAAGCGAAGTGGCAGCGACGCTTTCTTTCTCGTCCTCTCGTCGCTGTTGCGCAGCTGTGACGTGTCTAGACGCGCTCGCGTCCGCGCCCCGGTGAGCGATTCTCCTCCGGAGTTCTACAGGGAAAATCGTATCTTCTTCAGGGTCGTCGTCAGCGACTTCTAAGATTGGCTCTAGAAGGACGAACGGAGAACTCCACATCGAGATATACCATATGTGGAATAAAAATTGTCTGAGATCATCATCCAACCCCGTCTCATGTATTTACTACGTAAAAGGTAAGCATAGCGCATAAGGTGTTTATCAAACTCTTTATTGGGTTGAGTCACAAATAAGTGAATTTGTACATATCCACGCCATCACTAGCAAGTGTTGATGTTGTTCAAGATGGTATATGTGGTATCCTTTCATACTACAAAAATAGACCGTTAGTGGTTGTCTCCCAAAAAAAAAGAAAATGCCGGCAATGTTAGCTCATACTCGTTCCTGTCTCTTCACAAGCTCCATCTAGGCCCGTCAGCGAAGCTTATCGAAATATTTGTGTGACTGAAGGATCAGACAGGGTAAAAGAAAAGATATGATTAAGTAGTTCGAGAAGTTTTGCCACAGTGACTACCCTTGAAGACCAATCACGTTCCGGACACCGACTGTAGATATTGAACGCAACTTAATCATCTCGGGTATAAGCCCCAAACTGCAGTGGACCATCAGTCTCTCATAGCGCGATGTGTTGTGCCCTTTGAGCTGCGGGGAAAACCCCTGGATCGGGAACAGCTTTTTTTGACTTTTGTATAATTATTTTTCGATTCTTGCACCGCTTCATAATATTAGGTTGTCCGAAAATTAATGCCGGTTTCAATGTCTCATACTTTATTTGATATTTTTCCGAGAAATTTCCATACGATTGCTGTACTGTTGCATATCGTTGGAAAGCCCATTTCATTCTCTTTCTTGCACGGCCATTGTATTTTGATGGGACTCGGGCCTCACTTTTTTTCAAAGGTTTGAAGTCGAAGGCGTCAAAGCGGTGGTTTGAGCAGGTTCACTTCTATGAGCTGAAATTTGGGGGGAGTGGGACATAGTATATCCACTTTTGGAGGGCGTTGCTCAAGCGATAAAAAATAATATATCAAAAGCCGTATGTTGAATTTACAGGGCG